AGTTCCTGTTCTTAAAGGGAATGCCTTTAACCTCTCTCCATTAAGAACAATGTTGGCTCTTGGGTTTTCATAGATACTTTTTACTATGTTGAACATGACAGATTTTAAATTTACTAAATTAAATTTACTGTACTAAATTTAGCATTAGTAAATGAATGGGAGTTTCAGAACTCAAAGCTGCTCATGTGGAACCTGTACATAGTTTATAGCAAGTCAATGGAATAGACGGGATATCCGTGGTTCAGAACTGGTGGGTGGTAGCACCCTTTTTGTTCACCTTACTTATTTCATCTGTGTGCTGGACAGATGATCCAAGAAGCAAGGCTATACAAAGAAGAATGCATATCAGGATTGGAAAGAGACTCACTAACAACCTGCAGTACGCAGTTGTTAACCTCCTTGTTCATCAAAAACAAAGAAAATTTTAAATACTGACAAAACTAAAGATGACACCCTTCAGTATGGATGGTACTTGAACAGGACGAAAAGTCAAGTCCTTACAAGATCAATATACATTTGATAAGTGGAGTTGTTGTTATGTGCCGTCGAGTCGTTTGCGACTCATAGCGACCCTATGTACAACAGCCCTAAACCCTGCTCTATCCTGTGCTAATCGCATTGCCTCTGACACACCCATCCCGATTACCCCAGTCATTGAATCAATCCATCTCATAGAGGGCCTTCCTCTCCTGCGCCATCCCTCCACCCTACCAAGCATGATGTCCTTCTCCAAGGACCGGTCCCTCCTCACAACATGTCCAAAGTATGTCAGATGAAGCCCCAGAATCCTTGCCTCCAAGGAGTATCCTGGTTTAACTCTCTCTAGGATGAATCTGTTTGTTTTCTTGGCAGTCCATGGTACATTCAATACTCTTCTCCAGCACCACAGCTCAAAGGCGTCAATTCTCCTTCTGTCCTCCCTAGTCATTGTCCAGCTCTCTGATGCATAACAAGTGATTGCAAAGACCATAGCCTGTGTCAGGCGCACCTTCGTCTCCAAAGAGACACTGTTGCTCTTGAGTACTTTAGAGGGGTCCCTAACCGCAGACTTTCCTATCGCAATACATTTTTTGATTTCCTGACTGCTGGTGCCAAGAGTGTTGACCGTGGAGCCGAGCAAACTGAAGCTGTGAACACTTTCAATCTCTTCGCCATCCATCCTGATGCTACCAATTGGTCCAGTGCTGAGAATCTTTGTCTTCTTGACATTGAGCCTCAGTCCATACTGAAGCCTGCAGTCCTTGACCCTCTGCAGTAAGTGCATGAGGTCCTCCTCAGTTTCAGCGAGCAGGGTTGTGTCATCTGCATAACGCAGATTGTTGATAGATCTTCCACCAATTCTAACGCCACGCGTCTCCTCATAGAGCCCAGCCTCTCGGATAATCTGCTCTGCATACAGGTTGAAAAGGTATGGAGATAGGACACATCTCTGGCGCACACACCCTTCCCAATTTTGAACCATTCAGTGTTGCCCTGCTCTGTTCTGACAACTGCCTCTTGGTCCAAGTATAGGTTTCGCATTGATTGCATCCTGCTTAAATCACCAACCAATGCCCAAGGAAGCAGCTGGCAGGACATCAACCAACTGGTTTGCTGCACTGGACAAATGTTCTGCAAAAGATCTTCACAGTTCTAAAAGACAAATACGCTACTTTGGCGACTCAGGTGCATGCACCTGATCCATGGCACCGTCTTTACAATCACCTTGGATGCATGTGCAAGTTGGGCAGTGAGTAATGAAAATTTAACTGACACATGTGAATCATGGTTATGGTCAAGAATATGAACTATACCATGCACTATCAGACCGATGAACAAATGAATCTGGGGGGAAATACAGCTGGGATGCTTAGAAGGATATGGAGAATTCATTGCGCTTACTTGGGTCTTACCAGGAAAGACCAATTGCTGGAAAAGGATGTCAAGTTCAGCAAAATAGAGAGGAAAAAAATGAAGAAGCCCCTCAATGAGACAGACTGTTACAATAACCTCAACAAAAGGGTCAGGCACGTCAAAGACCAGAGACAGCAGAGGACCAGGCAGTGCCTCATCACCAAGTGCTGGGAGCCAATTTGTTAACTAACAAGATAAAACGATAAGAAAGGGCTTATATAAATAATTACAATCATAAACCACACAGTAGAATTTTGCAACAATCCACACAAAAGGCTAATCTGTAATAAACATAAAAGAGGTGTTTCGCTTTACCAATGACTAATCATCAAGTTTCATTCTTCTGTGGGATTGGCAAGAGCAGTAGTCTAAGCCCAGCGCTGGGTGTGGGAAGCAGGCCTTCAGTGGAGGGCGGACTGGTGGATGCGTGCACAGGACACAGTGGCATTTGGCAATGTATCCCATAAGGTGTATGTGATGTCCTTTGGCCTCTTCCACAAGTGGAAACAGATGGAAAGCTGATGTTTAGAAGTGCCTAAGTGCCAAGAGGGGTGGGGGGTGGGGGCTCATTATCCAAGGTGCAACTGCCCATGTGCCTGGAGCTGTGGCTACAGTCCATGCAATCAGCAAGGGGGGCCTGCCGTGGGGCTCACCCCAGGACAAGACTTGTCCATCTCTTCTGTATTGTGTTGGTGAGGTTTTGGGGGTAATTTTTTCAGAAAAATCTGAAACCCTGGGTGAGGGCTTGTTTACTCGGCCTCCATATCCATCTACCCTGCACTGTGTGCATCTGTCTTCCTCAGACAGCCCAGTACTCCTACACCCTTAACCTTAGACTTCTCCCTCACAGATGACCCCATCCCTCCCTTCTTCAGGGGAAGAACACTCCTAAGTCCTCAGCAAACAGACTGCACATTCCTCTTGATAGTCTAGTGGGAGGAGCACCCTGTGGATGCTGGCGAGGTCACCAGAGAGGACTGTTGAGTCCTGAGATAAAGGTCATGCAATGTCTTGGTAGTTAAGTGTGGAGTGGCCATTGCCCTCAAGGGCAGGGCTAAACCTAGCCTGCAGAGGTAACCACTGCCATCTTTGGTCCACCCAGCCTCTGATCCTCCTGGGTGCTACAAGTAGGCCTCCTCATGCATTTGGACCCACAGAAGGGACGGGGCAGCAAGATGGAGGTGGATGGCATTTTTTGAGGACCTGTGCTGCTCCCCTGTGGGACCAGAGTCCTGACCAACTACACCTTCTGCTGGGATGTGCCAAGCAGTGGACATAAACTGAACCTGGAATTACCTGTTAATAGGCCTGCCATCATCTGCCCAATGGGCTCAAATGCTTGTTGGGGTCACCTGACAATGGTGGGCTCCCATACTCGCTATGAGGAACATTTGATCACTTAACACCATTTAGTTCTAAATAATCCTATGAGTTCTTGACTTAAAAACAGAGCCCTCAGGCTGCTTCTCAAGAATGCTTGTGCTTCTGTGACAGTGACCAGGCCATCCTGGCCAACAGACAAGTGTGAGCTATGCCCTGCTGTGAAGTCTCACATGCAGCCAGTCTGATGTGGAGCCTGGATGTCCCAAGGGTAAACGTTCCCAGGGTCCTGCGTGGGGCATTCTGATGTGGGCTATGTGCTGCTGGTCCTGACTGGGGAATGTCCCTAAGGGTGTCAGAGAACTTCATGGCTAGATTTGGCATCACAGCATGGGGCACCTCTCCACACCTGCCACCATGGGGGCTGTCTCTAGGCTACAGCTGGCCCTACCTTGTTAGGAGCTCCACTCACCCCACAGGAGGATCAGGAGACAGGGCTCCTATGCTCAACATGGGGAGGGTGAACTCAGTTCAGGAAGAAAGAGTCTTTAAGCTCTCTGCAGGTTGCCCAGTGTGGCAACTGTCACATAAATTGTCTGTATAATCACCCCCCCTCCACCACCATCCTGTCCATCCACCCACCTGCAGGCTTGTGGAGCCTGGGCTCCCTTCACCTCCCCTGGGATGTGCTCACCTGTCCTCCACAGGGAGGGGAGCTCACCTAGGACTACCCCACTTTGTACCACATGACACACACACACACACACGTCACAGACAATACGAAATGTGTGTGGAGAAATGCTGCACACATGTACACATGCACGATACCCACACGCACACAATCCAACAGGCATGCAGACACATGCATGGACACACCTGTGAGCGAAACCCTACTGGGTGGTGTGCATGCTTCTGCCCCAGGACAAGTTTTCAGGGATGGGGGCCCAGCCAAACGGCCTAGTGGGAGCATGGGCAGCAGAGACCAGCTCAACAAGAGGTCACGATAAAAACCTCACTTACAGGACTTTTTTTTTATTGATTTCATTGAAAACAGAACAAGAAATGGTCTGAGCCAAAAGACTGCTCTTAAAACTGTCAAAACGTCTTAACAGAAAAAAGAAACATGATCGCATCATGAATGCTGAGAAGTCGCACAAAACCCCACGGTTACGGCACTGCTTACAGGATTTAAAAAGATATATGCCAAAAAAAGTATGTGACCTGCCGGCCACCACACAAAAGGTGATGGCCGATTTATTCACACTACAAGACTAACATTTTAAAAAAAGTCTTCCTGCGTTTTATTCTAAAACCACTTTGTTCTCATGTACAGTTAATATTTCACGTGGTGAGTAGAAACCACACCAGGTCAGCACCATTGTCTGTGTGTGTTTGTTTCCATCTGTCCTAATGTCCAGTAACGGCCTCACAGCGGGTGACAGACAAGGGGTCCATGCCCACACGGACCACGTAGCCAGTCCTCCATCCAGCAAATCACTTTCTCAGGAGCCAGTGCAGCCAGTGACTTGAGACGGGGCTAGCCATAAACTCTTAAAAAGCAAACTGACAATTCCTCCAGAGTTCTCTCTGGGACATGGATGTCAGTGCCCAGCACGTGGCCCTGGTAGGAGCCACAGGGCGAAAGGGCTTTGGCAGCGTACAGAGGCTTCTCGCAGACAGCACTGCCGACAGTGACAGGCAGCAGGAGCGGCAGACTGCACTCAGCGATGGCAAGGTCACCACCGCGGCGGCCGAGGTCCTGCTCAACCCTGAGCATTTCTGACTGTGAGTGTCCAGCCTCCTCGGGGACTGCACGGTGGAGACACTGCGGCTACTGTCCTTGACGTGTCCAGAGCGCTGAGCGTAGAGCTGCCCACCAGCCCACCTGCCTTCATAAGGGCTCAGCGGACGTGGAGGAGCTGGTGTCCGGAAGACCGTCCTCCTGAGTCTCCTGGGCTGTGCTGGCCTGCCGTTGCGCTAGGGCCGTACATGAGTGCCGGCACTTGGGGGAGCCACACTGGCAACTGAACAGCTTGCCTTTGATGTCCCAGAAGCGGTCCCCATAGTCAAACCTAGGGAGACAGAGCTGGACTTAGGGGAGTCCATATGGTATCTCATGCCTGGGAGAGAAGCTACGCTCCACCAGGCCCCTGGCCGCCCTCCATCTCTAAGTAATGCCCACAGGAACTGGTGGGTCAGCCTCTGATCAAAGATCCCCTCACTGTGACGTGTGACACCATGTTCAGTCTCGTCCACAGGAGCAATGGTGACCGAGCAGACTCCTGGATGCTGACAGGCAGGGTCAACATCAGACCGGGGCACCAGGCTCTGCCCAGCATGGAGGGTCGCTTGCAGGAGCTAGTGTCCAGTCCATGGGCCTGCGCATGGTCAGCCAGCTCCGTAAGCACTCACCAGGCTCTACCTGCTTTCTAAAAAATGCCTTTGGTGCTAGGTGGAGGCTGGGATTGGAAAGGACATGGAGGGCTGCAGTCACCAGGGCCTGGGTGCCTCAGGACCCCAGTACGAGCAGGGAGACTGGGCAGGAGGTCTTTCAGGAGCAGAAAGACAGCGTGTATGTCTGAGTGTGTCCAGATGTGCACACATTTGTGCATGTTGTGCTTGAGTGTTTGCCTGCGCATGTGTCTTGGACCCTTGCCAAGGCGTCCATCTTCATCTGGAAACAGAGTGGGTCAACCTCCTCCCAGGTGAAGGGTGGCCTGCACTGTATGGAGTCAGCCAGCTGGGGGAGTCCAGGCTCTTGGTGAATATGGGCCTACTGATGGGACATGAGGACACAGGGTGGGGCCACCAGGACCGGGGCCTGAGCCTGCTGACTGTGAGTGATCAGCAGCTCCACAGCTGCCCTCCGGTCAGGAAAGGAGGCCTGCAGCAGAGTCAGCAGCCCCAGCACAGCTCCCAGCTCATCTACCCACTCGAGACGCTAGCCATCCAGGTCTGTCCCTCCCAGCCCCCTGTCCTCCCCAAGCCACAGCTCTCCCTCAGGGTCCATCCTCCTCGACCCATAGATCTCTCCCAACCACCTGTACTCCCCACAAAAAGTCCATCCTCTCCTGACCTGCGCCCCCCACTGAAGGTCTGTCCTCTAACCCATTTGGCTCCCTCTCCCAGCCGCCTGAGCTCCCCAAAGAACACCTGTACTCGGACCTGTAGCTCTCTCCCAGCTACCAGTACTCCCCACAGAAGGCACCCCACACTCACGCTCAGTCCGCGCTCCCGCACATGCCCAGCCCATGCTCACACAACGGAGCCCATGCTCACACGCACAGAGCCCATGCTCACGCACACACCCCGCGCTCACACACAACCGGGGCTCACACACACCCCATGCTCACGCCCAGCCCTCGCTCACACACAACTGGCGCTCACGCCTAGCCCACTCACACACACTCCGCACTCACGTACAACCCACACTCACGCACACAGCACCCCTACCCTAGCTGTTCACCGGCCTCGATGGGGCGGGTGCTGAACAGGGCGACGCGAGGGAAGCGCAGGTCCTGGTGGGACATGAAGACACGCACGGGCACCAGGTTGGGCTCGCAGTGGTGGTTGATGAAGCGGCTGACGTTCCCATAGAAGCGCGCATCGATGCAGTACAGCTCCCCATCCTGTGGGACAGTATGCTCAGTATGGCTTCCCGAGGGCTGCCACCCCCCACAGCCCTCAGTCAGGAAGCACCCAGGGGGGTTGGCCCCAGAACCAGCTGCAAGATGTCCCCCAGAAATAACGTGACCAGAAAGTGGCCAGCTTGCTCACAGGAGGTCATGCTAACAAGGATGCTCCAAACACAAGTGTACTCGAAAGGCTGAGCTTGGTGTAACGAAGGGTCCAGCAGGTGAGGAGAGGCCACACCAATAGGTCCTGTCCTTGGTGCTCAAGGAGCACTCTTCTGTTTAGAGCTGCTGGCCAAGGGGCTGCTGTCCCAGAGCCTGAGGCAGAGAGGATGAGGACAGCCTACGCCCAGTCCCCCAGTGCCACCAGCACAGTCACAGTGTCCTCCAGGTCAGTGCACGTGGGGACTTGGCCCAGGAGACCTAGACAGACAGCAGTGCCATGAGCACAGGAGTGGTGACCCACATGAACCAGCAGGAAGCATCGCCATGTCCGATGACGCCCTCACAAGCAGCTGTGGCCAGCACAGCTGCGACCCAGTGTCTTCGGGGCTGACTTCCGAGGTGAGCAGGCTTTGTCCTCATCACCCCAGTGCAAAGTCCAATGTCGTGTCCCTGCTGCGGGCACGCCTCCACCGCAGATGCCCACTGGAAACCAGACTTGTCTTCCACACACATTTCCAGAGAAGCGAGCTGCCATCGAGCCACACACAGCCTCCTGTCCACTTCCGTGGTTGAGGCACAGGCAAGGCTGCCTGGCCCTGCGCCACCTCTGTGCCCACTGGTGCTGACAGAGCTCACTGTGGCAGCCGTGTCAACGCAGCTCATGCGACTGCCCGCACCTGAGCAGGCCTCTAGCAGACACGTGTTTTCCTGATGACACAGCCCAAGCCAGTTAGTGTCTTCTCATCATCCTGACCTGGGAATCAACGTGTTCCTTCTTCTGGTGGTAATGTTAGTCCTCACCAACACAACCCGCCACCTACCCTCCGCAGGCCTAACTCACCAGAACATGGGCTTAAACGGTACTTCAAAATAATCCAGTACTTTTCAAGTAGCCTAGTATGCTTAGTACACGGACAAGGGTTAAGTTGCGTGCTGTCTGGACCCAGACCAGTGAGAAAAGGACCAAGAAGAATCAGAAGTCATCTCCATTCAGCCACAACCAAGGCCCAGAGAGTTCAGGGGCAGGCAGCCTCAGGCTTGGTCTCTGGCCTCAGGTGAGCACGTCAGCACTCATGCCCCAAGCCAAGAGCACCTACCTTGTTGTCAAGGTCAAAGAGGTAAGAATCCTCTTCCCGGACGTCAGCCTCTGAGTCAGAGATGAGCTCCCCGACGTACCTGTGGAGAGCGATCCTGTGAGGCAGCCGCCTGCTCTGCCCGGAGCAGTCAGTAAGCAACTGAAGGCAGCTGAAACGCAGACACATGCCACCACAAAGCATTCAGAAACGCTGTCTGTGGATGCACGTCTGTTTCCAGAAGCAAAGTGCGCAGTGATAGAAACGACTGTTGGGAAGGGCCTCTCCCCCCACTGGGGATGACAACTAAGTTGAGACAGGACAGTCAGACTCAGAGGGCATATGAGCAGGGCCCACCAGATGACCACATCTGATGCACAATCCTGTCAGTAGAGGGCCTGAGCCTTCAGGCCCTTCTGGAGCTGTGGAGTGGCTTTGGTGGTTGTATGGTGTGAGCACGGGTCCTAGGTCACAGGCTCGAGTCCTAGTTCCAGGTGCTCTGGAGGTGCCTATAGGCAGGTGGAAGCCTGGACCATCCACGCAGAACAGATATTGCCTGGAGGCAAGGGTTCTGTACCTGTGCCCCAGAAGCCCCCAGGCCATCTGACTGCTCCCAGAGACTGCCCATTTAAGGGCTAGGACTCACGTACTCGCAGACGAAGGTGCCCAGCGGAATGTCCTGCAGGGCCCGCACACCCCAGCCCATGTTCTGGGTCCGGTAGAGTTGCAATCTTGCCCTGGAAAGAGAGAGTGGGTAAGCAGCTAAGAGGTCTGCAGATCTGCGCCTGGGGCCCTACAGGGTCTGCTCCGCTCCACAAAGTCTAGCAATCTCACCATCACCCCGAGTGACAGGAGACTGGGACTCAGTGTCTCCAATCATTTTTTAGGTAAACAACCACTTCAGAGCTAGGATGCCTGCTCATGTACAAGTGTTCATAGTGGCAACCAGACCATGGCAGGCATGGATTTACAAGGCCAAGGACAACTCCTAAGAACAAGAAGAGCACTGTGAACACAAGCGAGTTTTATCTGTGTTCAGCACAGAACAGGCAGGTAGAAGCCAGTGAGCTCCTTGCAGCGAGGGCTAGAAGGACAAAGAGATAATGACAGAACTACAGACAGAGTCTCTAACACTTGCAAACTGCTCTTGGCAGAGCCCTCAGGGGACAGGTGCTCGAATTCCAGGCTCCCAGCACACCTAAGAGCGCTGCTTGGGAGATGAGCTTTGAGCAGGACCTGGCTCTGGAAGCAGCAGAGTGTGCTGCTCGCGTTAGTCCGGCCGCGTGTGCAGCCCAGGGGCTGAGCACAGGGACACGGGCCATCTCATTTGCCTCTCATGGAAGACAAAGGGTAGGCTGAGCACGAGCTTCCTGTTCTCTGCCTACCAACACTGAGATAAGGCTCAAAATTATGAAGTTAGTGCGTTAGCTAATTTATATCTTGTACAACTCCCATCCCCAAACTCAGACCTCAGAACTTGATGGGAAAAAGTCGTGGCTGACTCCTGGGCTAGGGTGCTGGGAGTGCCACGAGCTCTGCCTTCACAAGAAAGGTGGGTCTCCCAAAACCTATGCAATGCTGTTGAGGACATGAAGAACAGAGATAACAGAGGAGTTTTTGTGAACTAAAAGAGAACTCCAATAAGGCAGGCCAGCGGATGGCTGCTTGGTGCATAAACTCAGACACATGAGAGGTCCCTGTGAAACACGTTTCTGGAAACTTGAAATCAGTCTGCAACTCTGAAAGCGTAGTGTCTCACTGTCCTCCTTCACTAAACTTCATGTGAATCTGGGAATCCGAGCTCTGAAGCTTAAGATACAAGGCCCAGGTTGAGGGGCCAGCAAAGATGGAGGTCTGTGCAACATACACCGAGGGGCCAGCAGAGATGGGGAGGGGAAACACTGTCCATGAAACAGACAGCAGAGTTGGGGGACCAGGCACTGTCCACTCACAGTGTTGTGAGGGGTCATGTACCATCTGCCAAGGAGACCAGCAGAGTTGGCAGCCAAGCACCAGCCACTTACAGCATGGTGGGTAGTGTTAGGGGGCCCATGCACTATACACTCACAGTGCAGTGGGCAGTGGTGGGGGCCGAGGACCGTCCACCAGCATGGCAGGCCTCACCTGAGTCCATTCTGCACCACCCTGTTGCGGCAGTTCCTCCAGCAGGCGCAGGCGTGGTTGCACTCGAAGATCAAAGGCGGCTCTGCCATGTTGAACTCTGGCAGCAGGCGGCCGTCCTGGGGAGAGACAACTCCTAAGCCACAGGACCCAGCAGAGCCTCATTCACATCAAGAGAGTTCTGGTCCGAGAACAGCACCACTGTGGACTGAGGCTCAAGGAGCCCACAGGGGGCAGGTCAGGGAGGCACTGCAGGGCGAGAAAGCCTCCAGTCCAATTGATGCCCACTGAGATGCTAGCCATAGGCTGAGGACCCACTGACTGTCCCCACTCAGCCATTCAGATCCCTCACTCCATGTCCCCACAGCCCACTAGGGCTCATTAGACGCCAGTCCTCTTCTTTTGGTGTCCGCTGAGACCACTAGCCCTTCACTACCATCTAGACTCTTTAGCAAAGTCAGAGGGACCCAGTTCCCTGCTCCAACAGCTTAGGAGATCCCCGATCAGAGAGGACTCTGGTTCAAGCCCCATCAGATCACCTCCCCACACATGGACGCTGGTCCCAGCTTACCTTATCATACCAGCAGCGCATGCTGAGCTGGCCACACATGCAGTTGCTGGAGGAGCAGTCGTCAATACACACACAGTACTGAGGAGGAGAGAGGGAGGTACAGCTTGTGGTAACCAGTCTCATGTGCACCTCACACTCCCCTATCGACCTGCCTATCTCACCATCCCAGACTCCACCTTCTCACAAATGCCACCTACTCAGACTCCACCCAAGGTACCCAAGGAGGGTGCAGTTTCTCAGGAGAAAGGGCTAGAAGGTGCAGAGATACTGCAAACATTCCAGAGAAGAGCTAAAGAGTCCAGTCTGAAATCAAGGTCACTACTAAAAATGAACTGTCAGGGTGTGGAGTGTCAGGAGGAGTCAGGACTCAGCCACATCAAGGGGCAAAGGGGACCCAGTCACATGTCAGCAGTCAAGATGACAGAGCCCAGTCATGTCAGGGGTAGGACAGAGAGCAGTGTGTGCTGTCAGAGGGAGGGAGGAAGGGGCCCAGTTATGAAAGCAGGGGGCTCCCTCCTCTGAAAGGAGATGAGATTTTTCTCCTGTGATGACTGAAGGGGTTGGATCACTGGAATCCTAACTTTAGCTCTGAGCTCACAGGTCATATGATGAGAGAGAAGTTGCCTATAAGCAACCCCCGGACAAGTGGTAAAACATGGGTCATTTCAGCCAAAAACCTAAGGGGGAAAAAAAAAAGCCCTTTCCAGCTCCTAACCTGTGCAGAAGCACAGACAGCACAGTCAAGTGGGGTGCCCTCCAGTCTAACTTCCATGGGAGCTCGGCAATGCTGGGGTGCAAGGGGAAGGGCACTTTCCTGAGGGAAACCAGAGCCCAGGGTGGTACTACTGAAGTACTTAAATTTTGCTCTAGAATGTTTCTTATCTGTCCCTGATGGCCTGGCTCTCAACTAAAATTGGGAGAATGAGTCTCTTAGAAAGGCCCTCACAAGCTGGGTGTCCCAGAGCATGCAGCACTCGGAGCTGTGCCCTTCTCTGGCTAACCCACCGCTCCTTCCCACCTTCCCGCGCCCCTGACCTGCAGGTGAGTGATGTTCCTGTCGATGTTCATGGGAGATGTCACACAGTTCTGAGACACGTACTTGTAGTTGCTGGGGCAAGGCTCGCTGTCCACTGCATTGACGCAGGGAATGGGGATGCGCTCATAGCCCCGTGCGATGTCTCTACACGGATGGGAAAACACATCTTTGGCCATTAAAGGATTTCTCCAAAGCAGCAGGGAGCCGGAATGCATGAGGGAGTCACCACACACCTACTGGCAGGCACACAGCAGCTTCAGCATGCAGGTGCTTCCAACCTGGCTTGCTCACCTGCTCACTGTCCGCTCCATTGGGGCAGGCTGGTCTGGGGCTGAGTCTCGCTGAGCCTTGCTCATCTGGAGGGCCGTCCACACCTGTGAGTTCAGGCTAGCGCACTGCAGGGGCGTTTCACCTTCCTTGTTCTTCAAAGTGACATCAGAATGCCGAGAAAGGAAGAGGCTGAAAAGAAAACATAGGCCAAGAAGATGTGTTTAAAAATATGACAAGATTAATGAAACGAGTGTGATCGGTAAATAAGGAGAACACACCACACCCATCACTCTGAAACAAGCAGCCCTCTAAGCCCTTACTCAGAATACAGGGCTTAACCCGCCTCCTTTCTCTTCTCTCACATTTACACCAAGCTTTCTCTTCATTTTCTTAGCAGAAAGGCTGCAAGTAACTAGAGAAGCTATTGGGTGTTTCTTGAGTTTTTCACTCACATTTGCCCTCAAAGGATAAATCTAAACTTCCAAGTTACACTAAGCCCAGCTGCCTTCACAAGCGGAGGCCACTGGGTCCAGGCTCATAGGTTGTCTCTCAAAGGGAAAGTGGGTGTAGCTCTGGGCATCCAGCCAGGTACCTGGTTTAGAGCAGCAGGAAGTTGTGTGCAGTGAGGAAGAAGACTGATCCTGTCCCGGCCTCTCATCAGGACCAACAGCCCTAGCTATCTGACTTCCTAGCAGCAGAATAAACACCAAACCAAAGCCCGTCAGGTGGTACGGATCACGGACAAGGAGGAGGCAGCAGGTGGCACTGACACCATGGTAGATCAGGGTCCTGATGTCTAAAGAGCTCTGGAGCTGGGTGCACCAGCCAGCCCAGAAACAGACTCGACTCCACAGGCCTGGTCACCATTATGCCCTCTGGGCAGGAGGGCTCTGAGGCTCACTCCCAGATTAAACATGGTATTTGGTGCTTGTCACAGTGACTTCTCTGAACAAAAAATGAAAAGATGACTTTCAGTGTCCAATGACCGAGGAACTACACTGGATACCTAGGGTCTTGCCCCACTGGAGGCAGAGAGCTATCCATTGCCCAGGGATCACAACTGGCTGGCACAGAGGCCTCACGTACACAACACAGTCGTAGCGGTTCTCCCGGGCAGCGATGTGCAGTGGTGAGTCCCCATGGATGTTGACAGCGTGCAGATCACACTTGGCAGCGAGCAGGATCTCTGCGATGTCCACGCAGCCCGAAAACGCTGCCCAGTGCAAGCAGATGTTCTCCTCCTAGACAGAGCAAGACATGAGCACCAGCAGCCAGGCCAACATGCACTCGAGACCACTACTGAGCGCTGCTGGCCAGGACACCTGGGGACGCTGTGGCCAAAGCCACATCCACAAGATGCCTTCAAAGGTGATCAGCAGGATCCCTGCCACCGCTGTGGCCGCTACTGCAGAGACTTTGGACTTGTGCTTCATAAGACCCATGGAAGAGTGGGCTGGCCACTGCTGCCCAGTAAAGGTAACCCATCTCCTTACTGCCATGGACAACTGGCCAAATGGGGAGGACAAATGACTCTGGATTCCTCGGCACAAACCCTTTCTCACAGCAAGCAGGCCAAAGCCATCGTCAAACTGGGAGGAAAGGGCCCTCGCTGGCATGAGTGGTGACGATCTGCATACAGGTCTCTAAAGCAAAAGTTACATTCAGGATTTCACCTGGGACCCCTGCAGTGTAGCAACCCAAGACACACAGGCACAGGCACAGGTTGCAAGGGTGGTGCAAAAGCCTAGGCCATAGTCACTGCCTGACAGCCAGGACCCTCAGAGCTGACCACACCTTTCACCTAGCACAACAGGTTTAAGTGGCACCCACCTCAGACCAGAGACAAAAAAATTTAAAGGCACAGTGCTGTGACTTCAGGCTGGACCTGTGGTGGACTCTTAGGGGTTTGGGTCCCACAGGGGCAGATGGGCTATGTCTCTCCACTGAGGGGCTGGCTGACTCGGGTACCTGATTCTGGGTTGGTAGTGCGGCCCCTTCCCGCTAGAGAAGCCAAAGGCATAATAACACAGGGAATTACTGACCAGAAGAAAGACTCCATTTCACATGGAGCCCCTGATCCGTATTGTCAGGGCTTCAGAAATTCAATGACCTAGAAAGCAGAGATGTGAAGCCTCTCCCTTCTGCCTAGTAGCAGAAGGAAAAAGCAACAGGTTACCAGCACCTTTAGTGAGCCTGCTCCCACACTACCCTCACTGCAGATTCCACACCACACTGGACTAGAGTGCCCACGTATTCCACCAGAGCAAGGTTCAGTACACACCTCACCTGTCCAGCATTAGATGACAACCAGCACCAATGATCTGCAGCAGGTAATTACACAGATATCCCACACAGACATGCCAGAAGAAACCACTATGTCCTGAAGGCAGCAGACAACCAATGTCAAATCCCACAAAAAAAAACCAATACAAGACGTCATCCAAAAAAGTGACCAAGACAGGGAGGAAAGGATGCTAGGATGCTCTAAGATGGAATTCAGAAGAATGATGATTAAGGATGTCCTCATAGGGTGGAAAACAATTTGAACAACTGAAGGAACCTACAAGCAAAACTCGAGAACAATGAAAAGAAATCCATGGAAGAAAAGATTAAACTAATGAAATATTAGAAACTACAGAAAAAGAAGAACTGCAACCCAGAACAGAAAGATGTCAACATGCTGGAGGGACAAACGAGCAGAACTGAAGTGATGGAACACATCATAAGCAAAACAAGAGACAGCGCTCTCAGCACTAGTCTGCTGGAGCAAAAAGCCAAAAAGGAAGGAAAAAGGGGAGCCTAATAATTATGTGAGATAGTGTCAAGAGGAACAACAGATGTATTCCAGAACAGGATGAAGGGGGGGAAAGATATCAAGAAAACTGGAGAGGGATTACAAGAAGGAAACTTTCTCAGTATCATGAAAAATGAGGAAAAATACACATCCCACAGACCCCAAATGAAAACCATGAAGGCATATCATAGTCAAATTCTTCAAAATCAAAGACAAGGAGAGAATGCTGAAAGGAGGTAGGATAAAGGACAGCAAATAAGATTACGCTTTCTCAGGAGAAACCATGTGTGCAAGAAGACAACAGAATGGTATATACAAAACTCTGAAAGAAATAACTGCCAACCATGATCTTGTATTCAGCAAAAAGGTCTGTCAACTATCCTGGAGAGGTTGGGACAGTCTCAGAAAGCATGAACGAACAAGAGTTTGTGAAAACAAGACCAATGTTCCAAGAAATACTAAAAGAAACCCTTCAGCAGAGAAAAGTGTATGGATCAAAACACCCAGCAACAATGTAAAAAAAGAATCCAAACAAAGTAACAGCAATAAAACCTAACTTCTCAATAACCACACTGGATGTGAGTGGATTAAATGCACCAGTTAAGATAAAAAGTACCAGACTGACCAAACTCATCCATATGCTAAAAAGGCAAGGATGGAAGAAATATAACAAGAAAATGGCAACAACAATAACAAAGGAGTAGTAGTATTATGGTTGTTGTACTATCAAGTGAGAACTGACTCCTAGCTCAGCCTCCAGCAGGTTCTCAGAGGCAGTATATCACACAGGAAGAGACTGTTCATCTTCTTCCTGCAGAGCAGCTGGTAGATCCCAACTGTGGACCTTTGTGTTAGCTGCACAATTCCTCACCACTAGCCCACCAGAGCTCTAGGCAGCAGTATTACTCTCTGGTAAAATAGACTTCAGGATAAAAATCACCAAAAATGACAAGGAAGGGCACTATATAAAGCTTTATAAACGGTCAACAGAACAAGAGGACGTAACCTTAATTAACATCTACCCACCAAAGGACAGAGCTGCAAAACAGGCTAAACAAACATTAACAGAATTAAAGAAAAACAAACTGCGCCAAAATAGTAGTAGGACATTTCAACGCACAGCTCCCACTGATAGGGTGACTAGGGAAACACTCAACAAATATGCTGCAGAGTGATGCTATGTATTCAACCAACTGGCTCTAATACAACAGAAGTGAAAGATTTATTCTTCTCCAGTGCACATGGAACATTCTCTAAGAGTATGTCAGATCACAAAGCAAGTGAAATCATTTAAAAAACACTGAAATACTATAAAAGTATCTTCTGAAACCACAATATGATAAAATCAGAAATCGAAAACAATAAATGATTTTAAAAAAACAAACAAACAATGAAGTTAGAAGCTAACACCCTGCTTGATCACAAGCGGCAATAGAAAAAAACTTAAAAAAATGAAAGAAAAAAAAAGTTTCTTGAAACAAATATGAATGAAAACACAATATACCAAAACCTTTGGTATGTTGTTGTTGTTGCTGTCAATTGCCTTTGAGTGTAGCACAACTTATAGCGATCCCATGAACAAAATGCCTGAAGCTCCCCCACAACCCCTGACATTTAGCAAAGTTGACAGAGTTTATAGAGGCATGCAAAATCAGTACTCAGAGGTCAATCCATGGCAATAAGCAATCACATCAAAAAGGAACTAAAATCAGCTTTTTAAGCCAACATTTTCAACAGGCAGAAAATTAACAACGAACTCCACAACCTCTAAAAAAAAAGCAAATTATAAAACCAAGGGTAGAAATGAATGAAATAGAAAAACAAATGAAACGATCAACAACACTAAAAGCTGGTTCTTCAAAAGGGTCAATAAAATTGACAAATGAATGGCAAACCTAACAAATGAAAAGAAAGAAAAGACACATATGTCTCAAGTAAGAAATGAAATGGTGACATCACAATGGAACCTACCAAAATGAAAAGGAAAGAAACAAAGCTCTGGTGGCCTAGTGGCAAGAAGCTGCACTGCAATCTCTAAGGCACAGAGTTCAAGGCCACCAGTCACCAGTCTCTCAACAGGAGAGGCTGGGCAATCTGCCTCTGAAAACCCACCAGAGGGTCAGTTATGAGTCGATTCTGACCTAATGGTAAAACAACAACAACAATATTATCACATGTAAACTAAATACTGCTTATGATTATCCAAAATCAGCTTCAATAGTACATTGATAGGAACTGCCAGAAGTTCACAAGAGGTTTAGAAGAAGCCATGGCACCAGGGATATTATAGCTGATGTCAGATGAGTCCTGGCTGAAAGCTGAGGATACCAGAAAAATGTTTATTTGTGTTTTATTGACTATGCAAAGACATTTGATTGTGTGGATCGTAACAAACTAATGGCAAACATTGAAAAGAATGAGAATCTCTTAACTGTGCTCATGTGGAATCTATACCTAGATGCAGAATCTATTGTTTGCATGGAGCACGGGAGCACTGCCTGGTTTAAAATCAGGAAAGATGTGCATCAGAGATGTGTATCCTTTCTCCATATCTAGTCAATCTATATTCCAAGCAAATAGTTTGTGTAGCAGTAAGATACAATAAGGATCTGCTTAGACATTGTAGTTAGTAATGTAATAAATGTGAATGCAACAAAAATAAAATGTAGTAAAATTTAAAAGTAAATGTAATAAAAGTAAATAAACATTGACTTCCCCCCCCCCCAAAAAAAAAGAAAGATAAAAAGTCAACCCATGGTGAGTGACACCAGACACCAGACACAGTACGTTACTAAAGTAGAACTTCAGGATACTTTTAATATTTTTTTAAATTGAGATTTTATTGTAACTTTATAAAGAACTTGGATTTCTATTTATTCATTGTTGCACATTTTCTTCCCTGCCCCCAATTAGCCTTTTTCTTTGGAAAAAATGTTTTTTTTTCATTGTTATATAGTCCCCCCCCAAGACCACTTTACCAAAATTATATTCACTCTATAAGAGACTTTCAGGTAATAATTAATAACTGTAGAGTTTAGTGAAATGAAAATTTTACTTTATGCTAGCCTCTATAAAGCAACCCTGGCCTTTGTTTGCCTGCATGCCATCAGCAGAATAAGGTTTATTCACTGCTGTGACGCTGGAAATGGAGAGCTATGTGCCACCTCTATTTCCAATGCCTATCGTGAGCAGGTTTCAGGGGATCTTCTAGACTAAGAGCATCTAGGAAGGGACCTCAGGTGATAATGAAAAAACGACGTGCTCTTCTGGACATGCTAGCTGCTCCTCAGGAGATCCTTAGCTGGCAGCCCAATGTACACACATGGCCTCACCAGGGATTCAGGGTTCATTCAACATGGGTCATCAGGCCATTCTGTCGGGGTGTGTAGGGCCAGCGAGAGTGTGGGAGAACAGACACAATGGCCTGCAGGACAGACATGAAGGTGTTGGTGACTGAGGACGACACAGGAACAGGCAAGGCCCCCGTGAGTCAGCACTAACTCCGTGGTAGGTCCTTATTTATGCCGAAAACAAAACTTAACATCATATGAAAAACAGAAAATTTCGGTTGACCTCAGTAGTTTAAGGAGCTCTAGTGGCCTAGTGTTAAGACACTGCACTGCAATCCCAAGAACTTGCAGTTCGCATCTACCAACTGCTTCGTGGTAAAAAAAGGATGGGCAATCTCTTCTTGTGTGGTTTACTGGGCCTGACACCTGCTAGAGGGTCAGTTAAGGATCAGTTCCAACTCAATGGTGGACAGCAACAATAGTCCATTTATTAGAAAACTAACAAAATCTAATACAATGTATTAGAAAATCCCAACACTTACATGGATAAACCGTACTAAGACTCACTGCCAACAGGTTGGTTCTGACTCATGGTGACTACTGAGTTTCTGGTGCTAAAGCTTAGAATGGGAGAAGACGGCTCTTCTTTCTCTTGGTAGGTACCACATGTATACAAACTGCTGAGCTTCAAGTTAGCAGCCAAACACTACACACAGCAGCGCCAACAGAGTCCACAGAATGTGCTCCGATGGACAGCACCACTGTGTGTGGATGGTACATGCCACTTTGTTGAGCGGATGCATGTCATTCTGCGCGTATGTGGGGCAAGACTGTGTAATTGCGTGCCACGCTGTGTGGAGGCATGCCTCTCTCTCTATTGTGTGTGAGATACACATGCCACTTTGTGCAGAAAATTGCATGTAATTTGAAGGCCCTTGAGTTACAGACTGAACCACGGGAGCTCTTAGCCGACTTTTAGATGATTTGTGCTTCACTGATTATAGAGATATTCATTAACACATTATGTACAACATGGAGAAGAATGGAAATTCTTGAATACTGACTTGTGCTCTTGCAGAATCCATACAAAGAACAAGAGGCAATCGTTTAAGCAGAACAAGGGGATACTTTGTGTTTTAAAACCAGAAACAGTATGTATCACTGTTACATCCTTTCCTCACAATATTCATAACATATCTGTAAGCTGAGCATTTAATCCAAAAAGCTGTACTATATGAAGAATAACTGAATAAACTGTGGACTGCCAGGAGGATGACTGAACTGTCTCAGAAGCAGCACAGCCTCAACATTCCACAGAAACAAGGCGAGGCTGGTTGCATCTCACATATCTAGGGCATGCTATCAGGAGGGAGTCAGTCCCTGGAGGGTATTATGCTTATAGTTAGGTGCCATCAAGTCAACTGCAACGCATAGCAACCCTATCAACAAGAGATCTAAAGTTTGCTCTATCCTGTGCTGTCCTCAACATCCCTGATCTACTCGAGCCCATTTTTACAGTCATTACGATAACTCAACTTTATTGAGGGTCTTCTTTCTTTGACTCTCCACCAGCATGTCTTTCTCCAAACACTGGACCTTCCTGACATCAGACCCAAAGTACATGAGACAAAGTTTCACCATCCTTGCCTCTAAGGAGCACTGTGGCTGCATCTTCTCCAAGGCATATCTGTCTGTTCTTCTGGCAATCCATGAGATACTCAGTACTCTTCTCCAACACCACAACTCAAAAGCATTGGTTCTTCTTCTGCAATCCTTAATCACTATCCAACTTTTAGACATGCAAGAAGCAAGAGGGTGAGCAAAAACCAAGATGATGCTTCATGAAATGGGTCAAAAGAAGTGGCTGCAACAATGGAGTCAAACACAGCCGCGAGTGAGAAGATCCAAGACTGTGCAGGATTTCCTTTGCTCTGCCTGACTGCAAAGGGTCAGAGCAAGATGGTGGCCCCAACAATACCCGGATTCATAGCAGTCTAAAACTTTACCAGAGGTTCATCAAAAGGTGAGGGATACATATGCCCTCCAGGACAGAATACTCCTCAGCACAAGAGTGAAGAGACAGCTAATGGTCAGCCCACCACACGGATGTGTCTCAGAAGAGCTGTGTTGCCTGGAAAATGCCAGACCAGAAATAATAACAGAGCCTGTGTGTAGGATGATGCTGTCTACATGAAAGCAGACACAGCCACTGACGAGGGGAGCGAGTGAGCAATGGAAGGCGCTTAGGAAGAGAGCAAGCATAGCACAGTATGAACACACAGCATAAACACAGCACCATCCTGACTGAGGCAGTGGGTCTGGGCTTATAACTTATTCACAGATCCACCAAGTATAACAACTACACAGCAGTCAAATTGGGGAAATGAAACAAAATGACATGGGTACTTTATCTTTCAAATGAACAAGCTTCTAGTGTGACCAACTCTCCTACTGTAGTCAGTTCCAGTTCACAGCTTCTATTTCCTGAGTGCCATGATGTACTACCACAGCATGGCACCAGCTCCGCACTGAGGACGTCAATGTATGGTCTCAACTTGCTCACCAAGTTCCAGGACATGTACAGAAATGTCACCAAGACAAAGACTCTTGCCTCACTATGCTGGAGTCCACTCTAGCCTTTCGTCCCTTCCGTCCTTATGCTTGTGCCTCTTACCCAGCTGAGGCTTTCTTCACAACAGTATCCCGGTACTCATGCTGGGAATGGGCCTGGGAGGCCTGGGACCCACACTGGGCTGTCTGTGGAGGCAGAGGCCCTCCGTGGGTATGGAAGGGCTTCCACAGCTGGGCAGCAGCAGGTGAGAACACTAACCTTCTAGGTGTCCTGCAGGTGATACAAGTGTGGTACATGGCTGGTCCCTGTTCCCGGGAACCCATTCTGCCGTAAATGCATCAGTTGTCTGCTGTTCATTAGAACCACGGAACCCCAAAGGTTTCACAGGCTGGAGAGAGCTGGGAGACCCTCACTATGACCCCAAATTCCATTCTCTGGACACATAAATTTATCCTGAAAAACTAACCAACAGTGCAACATCCTAAATCACAGCACAGGGAATCAGCACTCAGTCAGTGGTTCACTTCCCTGCCTTCCACACTGGCATGGGTCACCACCACAGACTGCATCCCTGGACAGTGGAGCAGAGAGGAGAGACAACGACCTCAATCCAGACACAACTCTGAAAAAGAAACCTCACTCATGGCTACATGTGGCTCTCTCTGCACCTCCTTCTCCATGGAAGAACACCTGCTGAACCAAGGCAAGAAAAGGCAGAGCCATGGCCATGCTGAGGGGCACCACCACAGGGCAGGGACCCCTTACCTGTCCCCACCACATGAGGCAGGGATCCCACCTGTCCCTGCTGTGCAGGACAGCACACTACCACTAGTCAGAAACCCCACATCTGTCCCCACCATATGGTACGGAGGCACCACCACAGGACAGGGACCCCACCTGTCCCTGCCACACGGAACAGCGCACCAACACAGGCAGGCACTCACATTGTCGCGGATGTTGATGTCAGAGCCCTTGGACAGCAGCAGCTTCACGAGCTCCACGTGCTTGTACTCAGTGGCCCAGATCATTGGCGTCCAGCCCCCATCATCCTGATGTCAAAAGAAGGAAGCAGACTATGACAGCAATTGAGGTAAGTCCAAAGGTGGACTGCAAAGCATAGTTTAGAATCAATCTATCCTGCAGAAGGTCCACAGGGGCACCTCAGGTGTGCAGCAAACACATACTGTAGACTCATGCAGACCTCTCAGAGCCCCAGGGAACTTCCCAGGTAAGGCAGCAGAGCCAGGACCAAAGCCAGAGTGAGCCTGGCCTGGCCTGACCCACATGCGCCAAAGAGGGACAGCAAAACGGACCCCTTGTCCATTGTCAGGTGGGTAGAGCCAAGTGTGAAAAGTCAGCAGGCCCAAGAGAGGACAGTGGAAACAGTGACCAGGGGGCAGGGAGTGGGGAGCAGGCTAGGAAAGGAGATGAGTAAAGGAGTCCAGCCTCAATCCTGGGGGCTGGGAATTAGTGAGCTGTCTTCATAGGGGAGGGGAGAAGGCAGGTGGAGGAGACTATTAGGAGTGGGAGCAATGTAATGAGGGCGGGGTAGGGAGGGGTATGCCCACACCTGACAGTTGACATCCATCTGTCCATTGGAGAGCAGGTACTGAACCACCTCATAGTGCCCTTTCTTGGCAGCCAGATGCAGGCACGTGGAGCCCTCTGCGTCCTACAACACAGATGTATCTGAGGTCCCAGCAGGACAAGCTCAGCGAGCCATCCCCTTACAATGATGACCACAAGGGCTCACACTCCACAGTCACACAACCAGCCTCATCCATGGGCCTGGCCGTAGGCTCCTCACCAGACCACATACTGATATGTCCCCATACCAGTGCCCTGAGGATGCCCCATAACTCTCAACAGCCAATGTGTAGCTATAAGACCCCACACAATCCACCAGGTCCCTGACCTTTGCATGTCTCCACAGGCAGAGGCCACAGGCAGTGGCTGACTCTGGACCCTTGCTCAGCACCGGGCGCATGTCTGAAGTGGTGCTAAAGAACTTGTGCAGCTTCCCGTGAGCCGCAGATGATGGGAGAGGATGGTGGCAAGGTCAGGGGACGTTGCTCGGCTCACCAAGCACAGCCTGATGGTGGCGAACCCAGGCCCCAGGGTTCAGCTCTGCTTCCTCAAGGACACCCTTCCCAGCATGGGAGGACGCAGACCATGTCCACAGGCGAGTGCTGAGCGTGACTAAAGCCCTTCATGATCCCATGCCAGTGTGCTGCTTGTCTTGTGACAGCGGCAATGAGGTTCACTTGGGCACACGCGTGTGCGCACACGCCCATTGCTCTGAGTCCCGGGCTCCATTCTTGACTTTTGTCCTTTATTCTCCCCTTTCTCTCACTTCCACAATCACAGAAGAGGTCCTGGCATCACTGTGCACTGTGAAACATCTCAGCAAAACCTTCAACTTTCCAGCCAATCTCAAACCTCAGGACAGGCCCACCTTCCAAACTGCAGATCCCTGATAGGGAAAACCTTAACGGGATCTTAAACATACAATACACAGATGCAAGTCTGAAGGGTTTGTTCTGACAGCCATTTAGATAGGTATAGTTGAGTATGTCCTGAGATGCCAGAGAGTTGCCACATATTTAAGGTCAGAAAGGGCTGATGGATGAGGACAAGGTGCAGTCCTTGTAGATCAACAGCAGGGAGGGCCTGAGGGGGGCTCATCCACAGCGAGGGTCCCACAGGGATGCCGTGCCCCAGGAGCCTGAAAGGGTGGTGGAGGAAGAGGAGCTAGGGAGAAAAGCCTAGGCACCAGGGACAGTGAACGTGGACCATCATTCACTACGGCTAACATCGAACAGGGGAAGAATCCAAGAACACTGAATTGTGCTCACGTGAAACTTGAACTTACTCAGCAACAGTAACAAAGTTGAACAGGGCGGCAAACAACAAATGCTGGTGAGGTTGTGGAGAGCCCGGAACTAATTTCACTGCTGGTGGGAGTGTAAAAGGGCACAAGCACTATGGAGAGGGTCCGGAGCTTTCTCAAAAATTTGGAAATAGAAATACCATTTGACCCAGCAATTCGACTACTGGGAATATACCCTGAAGAAACCAGAGCCAGGACTCCAACAGATGTATGCACTCATGTTTACTACTGCACGGTTTAGAACAGGAACAAGATGGAAGAGGCCCAAGTGTCCATCCCCAAATGAATGGACAGAAAAACTGTGGTACATCCACACAATGGACTATTACACGGCATTCAAAAACAATGAACTCGTATGCTACCCAACATGGGTAAGCATGGAAGACATGCTGAGTTAAAGATCTCAGTCACAGAAGGACAAATACTGTTTAACACCGCTATTATAAAATAAGATTGACATGAGGGGTTGGGAAAAGAGTAGATAGGTAATACACACTGCATCAGGACAGATGAGGGGAAGAACTGTCAGAAAAGAATATAAGATCAGGTATTATACATATGACAACAATCTGGAACAAGGAGCGCAACGTGGGAAGGGCTGGTGGAAGAGGGAGATGAACGGGGGAAGATAATGTGCAACAATGAAAAACATTAAAATAAATCCTTTCTGACGTTAAAAAAATTATATTGTGTATTTAAAAAAAAGAAATTTATACCTAGATTAAGAGGCTGTTAGGTGAACAGAGCAGTGAACATGTTGTTGTTGTTACGTGTCATTGAATCGCTTGTGACTCATAGCAACCCTATATACAACAGCTCTGAAGCCTGCCTGTCCTGAGCCTGTCTCACACTTACATCCATTACCCCATTTATACTGTGTCAATCTATCTCATCTAGGGTTGTCTTCTCCTGTGCTGTCCCTCTACCCTCCCAAGCTCGATGTCCCTCTTCAAGGATGGGTCCTTCATTATAACATGCCCAACGCACATCAAAAGAAACTTCAGAATCCTTGCCTCCAAGGAGCAGCCTGGTCTCACCCTCTCCAGAACGGACCTGTTTGTCTCCTAGCAGTCCATGGTATAGTCAATACTCTTTTCTAGCACCACAACTCAAAGGCATTAATTCTCCTTCTACCATCTCTAGTCATTGTCCAGCTTTCTGATGTACAGAAAGTAATTACAAAGACCATGGCCCAGATCAGATGCACCTTAATCTTTAGACTAACACAGTTGCTCTTCAGTACTCTGGAGAGGTCCTTGACAGATTTTCCCAATGCAATTTCTTTTTTGATTTCTTGGCTGCTGGTACCAAGAGTGCTGACTGTATAGCCAAACAAACTGAAGTGGTTAACAATATCAATCTCTTCACTGTCTATAATGATGCTTCTAATTGGCACAGTGGTGAGAATCCTTGTTTCTTGATATTGAGCTTTAAACCATATTGAAGACTGCAATCCTTGACCTTCTGCAGCAAATACCTCAGGTCTTCCTCAGTTTCAGCAAGCAAGGTCATGTCATCTGCATAATGCAGGTTGTTGATGAGTTTTCATCCAATCCTGATGCCATATTCCTCCGCATAGAGCCCAGTCTCCCCAATAATCTCTTCCAAATATAGACTGAAAAGGTATGGAGATAGGATGCAAGCCTGGTGTACACACCTTCCCTGATTTTGAACCATGCAGTGTTTCCTTGCTCCGTTCTGACAACTACCTCCTAGTCCAAGTATAGGTTACACATAAGCAGAATCTAGTGTTCCAAGATTCCCATTCTCTCAGAGTTAGCCACACAGTCAAATGCCTTTACATAGTCAATGAAACACAGGCAGACATTCCTCTGGTACCTTCTGCTTTCAGCCAAGATCCATCTACCATCAGCTATAATGTCCCTAGTACCACGGCCTCTTCTAAACCCAGCCTGTACATCTGGCAGTTCTCTGCTGATGGGCTGTTTTGGTCGTTTCTGGATCACTTACCTCAGGATCTTGCTTGCATGTGATATTAATAATATTGTCTGAATGGGAATAAACTGGAATCTCTTCTACTCAGTTGGCCAGGTGACTGTCCTCAGATTTCTTGGCACAACTCGGTGAGTGCATACAGGGCGGTGTCCGTTTGTCGAAATAGGTCAATTGGTATGCTGTTAATTTCTGGATTTGCTTAGTGCCGATTCCTTCAGAGCACAGGCTCTTGATCATACACTGTTCCATAAAATTCTTCTCTGTCAGCCAATTCCTTCTAGTACAGTGACTGTTTACTCTTTCCATCTTTTTTCCTCCCCAACACAAACGCACAGTTTATTTTCAGCCCGATCTGCTTCCAGACTGAACACCTTGGGCTCCGCAAACACCTTCCAGCCCTCCAGCTGGCCCATCTTGACCACGGCCATGGCCATTCTCACATATGCGCAGGCTGTGGTGCCCACGTGGTAGCTGTGCATGCACAACCCCAAGGTCAGGCCTCCAGCGCAGCCTCTAATGAAGTAGTTCAGGTGGTCATCAAGTTTCTCCCGGACCTGGGCACTGATGAAGGAGGCCAGGCCAAAAACAGCACTGATGGCCAATCCAGTAAACATGTACCATCCTGCCCTGGCCACCGCTTCGAAGAAGGTGGCTGGGATGTTTGAGCGAGAGGCTGTAGGTGGAGACGACCACACCGGTGGTGCTGCTGACGCCTGTGTTGGCATAGGCCGTGCAGTGGCAGTCAGTGCCATCGGGCTGTCCCAGTACTGCTGCAGCAGGCCTGCCCTGAAGCCCACCTCATTTTCTTTTAATGCTTTCTGAATCATTTCATATTCTGTCCATAGATAGCATCCTTAAGTATTGCAACTCAAGGCTTGAGTTTGTCTTTAGTTCCTTCAGCTTAAGAAATGCTGAGTGGGGAGCTCTGGTGGCCTAGTGGCAAGGAGCTGCAACTACAATCCCAGAGGCGCACGGTTCGAATCCACCAAATGCTCTGCCGGGAAAGGAGGGACAATCTCCTCCTGTACCAGTCAGATCTGATTTGACGGTACACTCACACAAAAATAATAAAATTTTAAAAAAAAATAAAATAAGAAAAAGAAATGCTGAGTGACTGTGGCCCTTTTGATTTCCGACTCCAACTCTTTGCATATTTCATTGTAATACTTTGCTTTGTCTTTATCCTTTGAAATCTTCTGTTCAGCTCCTTACTGTCTTGATTTCTCCCTTTTGCTTTGGCTTCTTGGCATTGTAGTGCAGTATTCACAGTCTCTTCTTACATTCACCTTGGTCTTGACATGTTTTGAGTTGTGGTATTGAAGAAAAGCACTGAATATCTCAAGGGCTGTCCAAAAAACAAAGAGATGTGTCCTGGAGAAAGTGCAAGCAGCACACGCCTGGGAGGCAAGGACGGCAGGGCTTCATTTCTCATATTCTGGACACACTGTTGGAAAGGGCCACAAAGCTTGGAAAGGGGGAGGATCAACAAAGGAGAGGAAGATCCTTGATGAAAGGGGTGGATCAAGGGTTTGCAGCAACGGGCTCAACAGAACAGGATTCAGATCTATCGTTCACAGGGTTGCTCTGAGTGAGTACCTAACAACCAGCAGAGTGTACTAAGCTATGGTTAGGCTGTGGCCCAGTGGGCAGAGGGTGTGGCTATGATCACATCAGACACCATTCTCTCCTCACATCTATATAACATAATCGTCTCAGGACCCCAGCTCCAGTCTCTTGCCTGACTATATAGAATATTCCCACAGAACAATCAGCAGCTAGCCAGCCTCAGAGACCTGGTGTCTCCCTGCCTAACAGCACACACATGTTCTCCCAACACCTACTCCCTCAGATCACAAGGTGGATGCCTCGATGCATCAGCTCCACCCTCAGGGTGAATGTGGTGGAGTGGTGTCAGACACACAGACCTCCCCTTTCATCTAGAAGAACCCTAAGACCAAATGACACAGACATACAATCCCGCCTCCGTCGATCACTCACACGCACATTGGACTCTACGTGGGTTTCAGTAGAAACCCTCTAAGCCTATTTCCTGAGCACACACACTCCAAAGAGCTGAGGCTGTGACGTATGCTACAGATAAGCACACACCAACTATGACCAGAGACCCTTCCGCGGCCCCAAAACCCACAATCCTGGTGAAGGGCAAAATGGGGAGACTGTTCAGATCCAAGGCGGTCACTCGTGTCTTCCCACCAGATGAAGGTGCTGGTCCCACAGCCATGCCACGGCCCAGCACTGCCCACATCTCTGTATCTCCCAGCAGACACTGTAGTGCACACCTTGGATGCTGCCACGCAGAACAAGTATATACAGCCCTCACAGTGCAGACTGTGCAAACCACCAGGACCACACGCAGTGTGGCTCTGGGCAGGATTCACCAAGAAGCCCACTGCTCAGGTTAGGGAAGGTATCTGACATGAAGGAAGCTCCGTGGATGTACCTTGGGGTCCACTAGTGCGCCTGCCTTGATGAGGTACTTGACTGCATCCAAGTGGTTGTTCTCTGCGGCCTCCATCAGCGGGGTTCGCTGGTCCTCAGAGCAGGTGTCGATGTTGGCACCTGCCTGGAACACAGACAGCAGTGTGGGTAGAGGAGCACCCACAAAGGGACCCGTCGGCACCCTCGACACACCACGGCAGCTGCTCTGGTCTCACAAGAGTGGGGACACATCGCCCTTTTCCGAGTAAGCTCTCTCTCTGAGCAATCAGACAGACCCAGCTTCTACTACGATGGCACCTCAAAACAAGAAGTGGGCAGTGGAACCCACCTCATGTAGACACTAACTCCCTTGGCCTGCAACTGAGGGAGGGGAGGTTCCTGGTTTCTGACTAAGAGTCCAGGCTGCAGGAACCTAGAAGCAGACAGCACTGGCTACAATGCTCTAAACTCTTTCAGCAGTAAGAGAGGGGCAACAAAGGCCAGACAGCCCCACCTCTGGGGATCCTCCAGGGGATGGAGGGGCATGTTGGGCTCACTCCACAATTATTAACTTCTCTATGCATAAACAAAGAAAAGGTGAAATCATCTGTGACTCAACGCCAGCCAAGCAAGACAGGCCTTCAAGGTGACTGACAATACCCAGCAGGAAGGCTCAGAACAGTCCACCATGGAGGCCACGCGTAGAAAGCTGAGGAAGTCTGACGACCAGGTGAGGAGGAGGAATGGAGACGGGAAAAACAGGGAGGAAGAGGGAAGCGTGCTGTTTTACTGTGTGGGATTATAATCACTGTCACGAAACATAATGTGTGCAAACTGCTGAATGAAAAATCAAGTAGCTCTACAAAGGTACATCAAATCACAAAAGAAAGTTTTTAAAAAGCAGGGCAAAGGACCTTTCAAAAGTTACCTAGATGCCACCATCTGGTGGCCCTCATAATACCCTGCTAGTCTCTGCTACCGCCTCTGCAGGGTCCAGCTGTTGACTCTGCCCCTGCCCCCACCCTCAGTCTAGCGGATGACCTGTCCCGTCCCCACAGCATCCAGCTGTTGACCCTGCCACCATCCCCACACAGTCCACTTGTCAATCCTGCCCACCCTCACAGAACCAGTTGGCTTAACTGACAGCGCTCAGCTTAGGGTGCCTACATACCACCGCATCTCCTACCATACCCTCAGAAACCCCATGCCACTCCTGCTTCTTGAAAAAAGAATGTGCACACAAAACCTTAGGTGTGAGACAGGGCATCACCCCAAGACTGTTCTCCTCCTTCTCAACCGCCTTAGTGCTGGAACCCCATTGAGAGGAGATCATTTGGTCCCCACACCCACACTAAGCCCTGGAATCCTGGCCTCTGCCCAGGAGCTACCCACCCCAAGCCACCAAGATACAAACTGCCAAGCTCACGTGTGGTCGGGGGGTGGGTGGGGGGTTGGAGGGGTTCAAAGCTCAGGGTCACCTGGATCAGCATGTGGCACACATCCACGTGGCCAGCCTCAGCAGCAGCATGCAGTGGACAGCGCTTGCTCTGGTGCTCCATCTTGAAGTTAGGGTCGATCCCATCCACTGTGGACAGACAGCTTCAGTGGTCACTTTGTCACCTCCAAATCATCATCCAGGGACCACACCCAGGCATCGTAAGTGGCAGGGAGCCCCTTGAGGTGTGAGGGGTAATATGGAGCCCCATGTGATGGTGGAGATGGGGGCAGGACGGGGTGGGGTGTGGAGCCCGCGCGGGAGCCGAGGTCCGGTGGCAGCATGGACGCTCACCCAGCATGAGCAGCACTTTCTGCAGCTCGCCTTGTCTGGCAGAGAAGTACAGCTGCTTGGGGTGGAAGCGCAGCTTCTTGGGCCTGTGGAGGAAGCACATGGTAGTGACCACCAGGCAGTGACCAGTAACACAGCCCCAAGTCAGTCTGAGGATGCAGGCCCTAGGCCATCAATCCCAGGCCTTGGCCATCCTGGAAGGCTCACTGCCCAAAGCTGCAGGGGTCTATAAGAGGACTGGGCCTGGCTCTGTGGTCAGCCTGGTGCTTCTGTCCATCCAAAAGGCAGAGATCGTCTAATGAGAGGGCTGCATGGTCCAATATCGCACCAAATGAGGCTTGGAGGCCTAGGAGAGGCCTGAGTGGTACCAGCTATGTGTAGCAGATTATCTATGATCTTGTCATGCTGAAAGAAGAGGCCCAGAGCTACCAAAGGCTGGAAGGACCATTTGGCTATGATAAATAACAAGAGAGGGAAGGATGGCGGGGCAGGAGGCTGGGCCTGGCCAGCACCTAATCATTGCACAAGGAGTCCTGGAAGCTGGCTCAGAGATAGCAGGCCTAATAGTAGAGCTCACAGCAGACACCAGTCCCATCCACACAGCCTAGTACAGAACCCTCCCCCAGGGAGGCTTCCTGACCTGGTCTCCCAAGGGGCACCTACGTCTTCTGTAGACCCAGAGGGCTTCAGGACTGGTGGGTCTAGACTGAATGCGGACCACCTGGGTGCCCTGGGTCTATGCAGGGGGCTTACTTCTCTGAGTCCAGTGCAATGAGGGCACTCTCCAGGGTCTCCTTGCCCAGCCCCTGGGGGAGGCCCCCTGGAGGCTTCACAGGTCCCGATGGTCCTGACAGCTCAAACCCCTCGGGGGGCTGCAGGGTCGAACTCTGCAGCTTGTCTCCCTCCACAAGCTGAGGCCCAGCACCACTGCAGGGATGAAGAGAATAGAAACACAGTGCTTAGGTGACCATAGCTGTGGAGGAGAAAGATCCTGAGCGTGGGGACACACAGAGCAATTCTCATGGACTTACATTCAAATGTGCTTTTAAGAGAAGCTATCGCCTAATGCCCCACCTCAACGGGAGAGGGCCTCATAAGCACTGATGCTCGACAGTAATGAAGCACAAACCAACACAAGACGACATGCCCGGGGTTCAGCTGGAGACGACTGGACGGGTCTCCCATCAACCCTCCCTTGAGTGCCTGTGCCTTGGTCGGTGTGATGAGTACCACGGCGGGCTTTCTCTTGGACACCAATTCATTTTCCAATCTCTGGCAGGTAATGAGACCACTAGGGATTATCACTGATCTGGCCATCCCCCGATTCGCACGCTAAAAGCATTCCAGCTAGCTCTCCTAAGCTATCTTCTATACGTACATCTTGGGGTCCCGGAGTGCTGCTAGGCCAGTCTGAATACCAACAATGCAGAGGAGAAGAAGGGGACGGTAAAAGCTACCATTTCCAACACATGGAGATGGCTAGCTTGGGGAGGGCTGAGTTACTGATGGGACGCCACATAGCACTGCATTTACAAGCAGTATGTCAGACTGGCTCAACCTGAGCCACTGAGCCCCAGAACTAAGGCAAATGGTACACAAACAAGCTTCAGGGTTGGTTCCCATCCGTGAGAAATGCTCTGATAAAAACGGTGGGAAGCAGTGACAACTCAGTGGGACCCCCTCTCAACATCATGGCTGGGCTAGTACAACTGGGCTCAGCAGAGGCTCAAGGATGCCTGGCCCAAGACGGCACACAGGCCTGTGTTCACCCTACACTTTCACCGTCTTCTGTCCCTTCAAGCCCTCTTTGCCCAAGCGCACCTGCCAGTGGTTGTGTCGGCTCTGCCCTCAGTGACGGGAGCCTTTTCTGGTCCAGACCCCACAGTCACGGTGGAAGTGGTGTCGGCCTTGGCAATGGTCACCTCTCTGGCCTTGGCGGCCTCTTCGCCACAGTGGGGGCAGTAGCTGACGTCGCTGACCCGAGAGGCACAGTCCTTGTGGAAACGATGGGAGACGCTACTCTCGGGCTGACATTCCATGAAGCTGCCCTGTGGGGAGAAGAGCTGCTCTGTGGACATGTGCAGCCCAACACTACCCTACAGGCTGCCCTGCAGACCAAGACACTCCAGACACAGCCTGAAACTGCTGGGGCAGCAGTGTGGCCTCATCGCCCTCACCGCCCCCAGGTTCCCTAGGTCAGCTGAGGGTCCCTGATTCAGGATGCTGCCCTGAATAAGGGGCCTTACTAATAAGGAGAATCTGCGAATCAGCCCTCTGTGCAGACCTAGCAATTAGAATAGATCCAGTAATCTATTAATTAGCATCTGCCCTGAATGTCAGCTTCAGACTCATCTCTGCCCCGGCCCCTCACTCCTCAGACATCTCCCCCTGCCCCAAGCCCTCAATCCTTAGGCACAAATCCCCCAGACAGGCAGTATGCTGCAATACTGGCTAGTGCTACTTTCTGTTTTCTGTCCATTTACACGATTAGGCAGATAAAGTGCCTTCTCACCACATTATCCTCTCTAAACACAGTGCCAGGACAAGGATCCCACCATGAGACCTCACCAGATACATCCAACCAAAGCTCACAAGAGGCTTCTGGAACTGAACCGCATTCCACCAATCCTGTACAGGGAGATTACGTGAACCCCACCTACCAACAAACCTGGAGCCATCATCTACTAGTGCATCAGACCTCCAAGCAAGAGCACACAGGAGTTGGGTGTCCCCATGCCCCATGCTCATATGCTCCAAGAAATGGACAACAAAGTATCCGGCCCCAGATGCTCTGCAGTACAGTGTCTGCTCCAGATTGTGAGTTTTAGGGTTGTGTGGGGATATTTTTGGGCGGGGAGGCTTGGAGGGGCTAGTAAATCTTATAAAGCACTAAACATACAATTGAGTTATGGTCTGCCTTAATTCTGGGCCTTATAATATTTTGGTACACACAGTATTTTTACAGAATTCACTTGCTGCTGCTGAGTTGGAATCATCAGGTTTTTGGATACCGTAAATTCCATGGGAGGAGAATACCCATTTTCCTTTATCAGCACCACTGGTGGGTCTGAAACCAATGGAGGGTGCACCACTGGGGTCAGCAGTACAGATCTCTAAGGAGTACGCCACCACAGCTTCCTTTTACAAAGTCAGGATCACACAAAACATCACGTATTTCATGCACAAAGCTGCCAAAATGTGAGGAAAAAATTAGGGGAGTACGTGAGCATACATTATGTGTTATCAGAGTGATGAATCATCGTGTAATGTCATTCCAATGACAGAAATGATAAGACTAAACAGGATTCCATACATCTGAACATATGCCCCACAGCTCCCAAAAGACAACATGGGAACGTAAACTGTGCAACCACTACAGAAAGCAGTTTGGCACTTCCTCAAAAAGCTGAGAATAGAAATACTACTGGGTCCAGGAATCTTACTATGAGGTCTATAATCCAAAGAAAGAGGTGTGACAGAAACGGACACACCCTCACCCATTCTTATAGGTGATATAGCATTATTTATGATAGCAAAGATCTGGAGGTAACGCAAATGCCCATCAACAACTGAATGGACAGAAAAAGCTATGATATAGTCACACAATGGAATATTACGCAGCACTGAAAAACAAGGACCTAGTAAAACATTACACAACATGGGGGAGCCTAAAGGGCACTATGCTGAGTAAAACATCTCAGTCACAAAAGGGCAAATACTACATTACACCACTGATTTAAAAACAGGACTGCCAATAGGGTTTGGGAGGAGAATACAAAAAGTGTGGATAGATAATTAACACTGCATGGAACTGATGAAGGAAAGAACTGTTAAATGGAATATATGATTAGGCATTATGTGTATGACAAGTCTAGAATAGGAGGTTGCAAAGCATACTGGGGGAGGGAGTGGGGGAAAAGTGCAACAATGAATGAGTGAAATCTTACTTTTCTGAAAATGTTTGTTAAAACCACAATTAAAATAAAAAATTTTATTTAAAAAAACCAACATTTTATGTTCTTCCCTGCGTGAAGAAGAGCCTTTCCCCACCCCAGTGGAAAGGCAGCAGGAACGTGTAGAACACACTTCGAGGCAGGAGCAGCAGCCATGGCTCCAGCAGAGATCTGACAGGAGATGGTGATGCGCGATGAGACCTGGGGGAGGGAGGGTGGGAGCGGGCAAGGGCCAGTACTGGCAAGACTGAGAACTCTGTTGGATAACTGGAGGGGGAAGGCAATAGTGCAAAACTGAGAACTTGGAAACACTTGGAGCCCCAAGGCTCGAGGCTGCGGGGCCTGAGTGCACATCTGGTAGCTGTTTTAACCATATTCTTTTACTAATCTGGATTATAACCTTTTGACTTCCCAATATGGTTCTCTGTGGTCTGCTGGCTATCACATTGGATTCTGGACCCTGCAAAGCAGTAAGACTGGTGTTAAGACGAACAGGAGGAGGTATGGGAGTGTGTGGGGACATGTCTGACCTCACGGTAACTGCTTCTGAGTTACTGATGCTGTGGATGGGGGCAGAGGGCAGCTTCCCCTGGTGAAGCTGATGAAGGTCAGATATGGCTGTCCCCACACGGCCCTTTGCTCTGTTTACAGTTAGTGTCAGGAGTGGGATTCCATGGGATGGCTCCAGATTCACAGAAATGTGAGATTTTATAAGAAGTTAGGGTTTTAGAAAGTGCAGTTAAAATGGCTACTTTTGATGCTGCTAAAATGGAAAGAAAAGAAACTTTGGACCAGAGACAGGACACAGGCCCTAGGCTCCATGCACATGTGGGAATAAAATGGCCTGGTAGCAGAGATGGAAGCTGAAACTGTTAATCCCTTAAAAGGTTTATGTGTTAAGGTTTTTGCTAACTTAACTTTATGAATATTACTGGGGGTTTTTTGTTCATACAGTAATGATAAGATATAGTGTATAAATAATTAGGGTTTTTGCTAATGTAAAACCAAGCTACTCCTTGGAGGCACGGATTCTGGGGCTTCATCTGACATACTTTGGACATGTTGCCAGGAGGGACGGGTCCTTGGAGAGGGACATCATGCTTGGGAGGGTGGAGGGACAGCGCAGGAGGGGAAGACCCTCTATGAGATGGATTGATTCGGTGACTGGGGTAATAGGGATGGGAGTGTCAGAGGCAGTGCGGTTGGCGCAGGATAGAGCAGGGTTTAGGGCTGTTGTGCATAGGGTCGCTATGAGTCGCAAACGACTCGACGGCACATAACAACAACGTTAAGATGTATGGTAAAAATGATTTCCACTGTTCTTGTGTATTATCCAGTCAGAAACAAATCTATAGTGGGTTTTCAGAGAAAGTTAATCCCATGGGAGGAGAAAGTCCACCCTTGTATATCTTGAAAGTATCTGATCTGCCCTGAAGCTAACTGAATATACTTAGAGGTATATATTTGTCCTGGAGAAAAGCTTATTCAAAGCAGTTGATTAGAGAGCACTGGGCTTGGCCTAGATGGAAGATTAAGCCACATCCAGCAGTCTGAGATTTGTATTTGACTAGATCTTCCTTAGATGAGTAGAGCAGCTGGATTCTACAAAGGTATGCTTTATATTTTGATTGGGGCTTGGGTGTGTACTGTTGCTTACAACTGATCAAGACCTGACTGGATTTGGCCTCAGTATTTAAAAAGGCATGTGGTTTTCATTGTTTTCAGTCAAACATTCTTCTAAGTAGTATAGCACTGGTCTGTCAATTTGCTGAACAGAGGTAATTATGTGGTTGCTGTGATGGTAAACACTGGGACACTAATGCGTCAAATGCGATACTGTTTAACCATGGTGGACAGTGTTTGGTGGAGCTTCCAAATTAAAACAGGCTTGGAAGCAGAAGTGGTTTCCACTCCCGAAATAGCTTGCCTCTAGAAACTCTGAACCTAGAGAAACCATGAAGGTTACAGGTGTTCGCTATCTAAGACTTAACTGACAGCACTTAACATCAACAACAACAAAAAAATAGATCTTCCTTGGACTTTTGTGTACAAGTGTGGAAGAAAGAGAACAAGAATTAAAAAGAGAGAGAGATAGATACTCTGACCTTGTAAAACTGGAACAAACAGTTTGGTTTCTGAGGCAGGGTAAGGTTGATACCCGTAAGAGCCCCTTTTCAGGACCTGAAGTTAAAGGGAGCTGGCAGGTATACGCTTGTGGTGACCACCTGGATTTAATGGAGTGGAATTAAGAGCCAGAATGAGGAAGAGAGAGACTGAGAGGGAGAGAGACAGACAGACAGACAGACAGACAGACAAGCATGTCTCTTCTTGATTGGACACGTTGACCTAGCATGCACAAACACATGGGGAAGCACAAAAGGGTTGCTATCTTTGAGAAGCAGGGAGTCATGTGGACCCCATCTTGTTGACTTGGTCTCATATGGGAGCTAATACTGAATGAAGTGGCCAGTCAGTCTAGAACTCAGGAAGAAGTGTGGACTCTTGAATTTGCAGCTGATGCCCATTTGGACATAGCCTTGGATGGACTGAGGTGAGCTGAGCAGAACCCACGATGTTTCATGTTGTGTGCTAGTGTTTTTTTGTTTTTAAATAGTTTTATTGCAATTATGATTTTAATGAAAGTCTACAGAAAAGTTAATTTTTCATTCATTCATTGTTGCACTTTTTACCCCCTCCCTTCTCCTCCAGATTTATTTTTTTTTTAAATATTCATTCATTCTGTTGCACAATTACCTTCCTCCCACCACCCACCATCCTTTTTGCAACCTCATATTCTGGGCTGTAGTAGTATGTATAATGCCTAATCATAAAGTCCTTTTAAACAGTTCTTTTCTTCATCTGTTCCAATGCAATGGTCATTATCTATCCATTCTTATCTTATTCTCCTCCCAACTCCCCAAGTCAGACTCACTTTTTAACAACTGTGTTATGCAGTATTTGTCCTTTTGTGACTAAGATATTTCACTCAGCATGATGTCCTCCAGGGTCACCCATATTGTATAATCTTTTACAAGTTCACTATTTTTCAGTGCTGCTTAGTATTCCACTGTATAAATATATCATTGTTTCTCTCTCCATTCATTTGTTGATGGGCACTTGGGTTGCTTCCATCTCTTTGCTATTGTAAATAATGCAGTAATAGACATGGGTGTGCATATGTGCTAGTGTTGATGGCTGCAATGTGATAGTTTACTCTTGACTGGGCTTTGCTTATAGATACAGATGCTAAAAGTTTTGACTGGAACAGAAGACTATTCAGAGAAAGGAACGTGCTTGTTTCCTCAGAATACTGGTTTGACAGAGATGAGCAAATAAAACCTTGGCTACCTAAAAATGAGGGAGACTGAAGAATGAGGAATAAAGTTGCTGATTACATACTTTCACAAATACCACTGTTGTATACTGTAAGGAGAAAGCTAATTTTCTCATGTGAATGTTAGCAGCTTGAAAAGCCTATGGAGTTTATCTTTTAACAGGACTTTTCTAGCATTATTTGAATGTGCATGACTGACCATGTTGAGGCAAGACTATGTGAATGGGGTTTATTAGCCTATCTACAAGGGGGCTGGCTATCTACAATTGCACAATAGGATTGGCCATTCTCAACAATCTACAAGGGAACTGGGTAGTCTTGCCAATAAATTGAACAGCTCTTGCTGCAGAGACGCATCTTCCCCTGTGAGTTAAGAATAAAGAGACTTTCCCACCCTCGTGAAAAAGAAGGAAAACGTAGAACACACCTTAAGAAAGCAGCAGCCACCATGGCTGAACTAGAGATCGGCCATGAGATGGTAATGTGAGATGAGACCTTGGAGGCCAGGGAAGAAACCAGCCAATATTGGCAGGGATGAGAACTTTGTTGGATAACTGGGTGAAGAGCCAATATTGGCAGGACAACTGCAGGGTGGAAGCCATTACGGGCAAGACTGAGAACTTAGAGCCACGAAGCTCAAGCCTAAGGTGTCTGTATGAACATTTTGGGAGCGATCTTGACTATATTCTGTTATTAATCTGGATTATAATCTTTTGACCTCCATTCCCCCTCCCCCAAAAAACATATGAATCACTGTATTAAAAAATCATATGATTTATAAACTTTCACTCAAAAAGCAAAGTGACAAATATGGTAAAACTCCTAATAAGCATGGCAGATCAAGGATGTGGACTCAAGCTCAAAGGATGCAGAAGCAGAGGCACCTACTGAAGAATGGATACAAAGACAGGGAGAGCCACTTGCAGAAGAGACACCAACAGGTTCCCCCTACTAAGTACCAGAAAAACACACATGTAAACAAGGGGCAGCCAGGCCCTTCACACTATATAGAGGTCAGAATGGGAACAGCCTCTGTCACACTGTAGAGGTAAGGTGGGCACAGCGTCTTCCTGTCACATAGCAGAGGTTAGAGGTCAAAGGTCAGAGTGAGAAAGGCCTTCTACACAGCAGAGGTCAGAGTGGGGACAGGTCATGTGGAAAAGGTCAGAGCAAAAACCAATGGTGACCCAGAGAGAAATCAGAGGGAGCACAGAAATAAGACCTGCCCCCTGCCCCCCCCCCCAAACACACATACACAAGGTGATCTGGCACGCCAGAGATGTAAGGCCTCCGATGTCCTCTCAGACTGAAGGGACAGGAACAATGAAGGTGTCCTTGAGACAAAAAGCTCCTGCTGCAGAGTCCCCTCACAAGAGTGTACACCTGGTAAGGAGCTCCCCAACAGGCCACTAGACGTTGAGTCTCTTGACCTTGGGTGCAATGACAAAACTCAACCAACCAGTACAGGGAGTCTGCAGGCAGCAGCAAGTGTCGGGCACACAGGACGCATGGGACAAGTGGACAGGCCTGTGGTCATACACTGAAGCCATGTCATTTCCACCCCGAGCCACAGCACCATGTTATGCCCAAGGTGGATGCTGAAAAGTAGGCATGGGAGTATGAGTCCCAGGACGAACAAAGAGGGGCACTGAAGAGCTCCTTGAGGTCAAGTGGGGCTGGGATGAGGGGTGGGGAAGGGGGTGGGGATGGGGGGGGGGGAGGGGTGGTGACGGGGCTGGGCGGCGTGAGCCCAGCTCAAACTCACCGCAGTGCAGAAGTAGCCACAGCCAGGGCAACACTGATGCTTCACCATCCGCGCCCTATGGTCTTCGCACAGCACTAGGAGCGGCACTCGGTTGGAAGGGCGCATCAGCTCTAGCTTAGCCACACTGTTGGTGCACCGGCCGAGCTGCAGACAGACAGAGGCTTTGTTGAAGAGGGTGCCTGCTCGTCCTCAAGGCACAAGGAGCAGATACTGGCACACAGTAGCCACTGGGCATGCCTGCTGCCTCAGTGATTTCTGTAGGCCTCCTCCAACTCAGTACAGCTAGAGGAAGAGCTGGAGGAAGACATGAAGAGCGTGACAGAGTGCAGAGTCTGCTTTGTACTGTCAGGGGGGCAGACTGCTCCATCACCTCTTTCGGGCAGAAACTGAGGAAAATGCCAGGAGCCTGGGAACTGAAGGGAAATGGGAGCACACTCAGCAGAATGGGACAAACCAGAAAAAATGCCATGGGCTAGAGGGGGGACCAGTGACAGAGTCACCTAAAGGTGACCCGATGAGACAGAAGGGTGGGAGGCATGGGGCCTCAAGGGCCTGTAAGAGGCTGAGGGCAGAAATGTCAGCTGGAGTGACCTCTGCAACGTAACTGGTGGAGGGCCACCTGCTCACTCTGTACAGTTCACTCACAACCAACAAGCAGAGCAAACAGAGGAGTCCAAATGACAAAAGGTCCAAACATCCTGGTGGTCAAGGAGCTGTGTTACAGTGCTTGTGTTCTGCAACCCAGCATAGGGTTTCAGGGGAGAGGATACACCTGACACCGCAGTTTTGTGCTAATTAAATTTGGAAATGTGAATCTGCAAATACTTACTGCTCTTTAAAGACCTCAAAGATGTCATTGAGTAAATGTGCACAGATGTGTTTAGAAATGTCCTCCAACAGAGCCCAAGGTGAAGGGCAGCCCTCATTCACATGGCCAACGCCTATCCCAGCCCACAGCCCACACTCGGGCTGCAGTGGTTCTGGTCAGCTCTGTCAGAAAGAGCTGCTACTGGCCAAAAAGGAGACTACTGATCACCCAAAGGCTGGAAGACTTGGGAACAAGAGCAACACGCTGTACAGCCCTGGACTTTCACTGGTTACCAGGGTGGTAGGGCAGCCTCCAGGAGGGGACAAAATCAAACTGAGCAGAACAAGGAAAAAACAAATAGGTAAGGAAAAGTGCTCCTCGAGGTATCTTAAAAAATCCTTGGTTTCAGGGTTCCTTTGTTCTCTTAACATTTATTGAGGATCCCAAGAAGTTTTTGTTCAAGTGAGCTGTGCTACCAAAAGTCACTTTATTGGAAAACAAAACATAAAGTCTTAAAATAATAATTTAAAGTACGAATAAAACTACTAAACATCACCATAAAGAACCACAGGTCCATTTAAAAAAGCAACTATGCCATTACTACAAGAAACAAAAAGAGACCTGGAGAAGTGGAAGAATATCCCTTGCTCATGGATAGGAAGAGTCAATATTGTGAAAATGGCAACACTACCAAAGGCAATTTACACGTCCAATGCAATCCCAATAAAAATACCAATCCCATTCTTCAAGGAGATGGAAAAGGTAATGTCTGGTTTCATTTGGAATGAAAGAAGCCCTGAATAAGCAAAGCACTCCTCAAAAACAGAAAAAAGGTAGGAGGCATCTCACTCCCTGATTTCAAATCCTACTATATGGCCGTGGTGGTTAAGACAGCATGGTACTGGTACAATGACAGACACATAGATCAATGGCATAGAATTAAGAGCCCAGAAATCAGCCCATCTACATATGGTCAACTGATTTTTGACAAGGAAATGAAATCAGTTAAGTGGGGAAACGACAGCCTTTTTAACAAATGGTGCTGGCAAAATTGGAAAAATATCTGCAGAAGACTCAAGCAAGATCCACACCTCACTCCATATACAAAAACCAACTCAAGGTGGATCATGGATCTAGGACTAAAACCAAGGACTATAAACTTCATTAAAGAAAAGCTTGGAAGAATTCTAGTAGTTCTAATCCAGAACATAAAACAGTCTCCCAAGTATCCTGAAAAAATATACCACCAGGAGAAGATAAAATAGATGAATGGGACCTTCTAAAAATCAAATCCCTATGCACATTCAAAAACTTCTCCAACAGGGTAAAAAGGAAGTCACAGACTGGGAAAAAGTATTTGGTAATGACATGTCAGATAGGAGACTTATATCTAGAGTTTATAAAATACTTGAGCACCACAACAAGATCAAGGTGAATAATCCAACAGAAAAATGGGCACAGGATATGAACAGACACTTCACCAAAGAAGACATTCAAATGGCCAACAAGCACATGAACAAATGTTCAAAATTCCGAGCTCTAAGAGAGATGCAAATCAAGACAACTATGAGATATCATCTCACCCCAGTCAAAATAGCAAAATTTAACAGAACAGCAAGCAACAAATGCTGGCGAGGTTGTGGAGAAACT